TCAACAAGGATCACAAACAAGCAGATCCTTAAGAAACCAACAAGGATATCCCAGTTCTAAAGATCCACCACAGAGAAGATCCCAATAAGCTATATCCAATTAACAAAAGCTGCAAAACCTGAGATGTCACCACAAGTAAGACATGAATTTACTGAGCTGAAATCATTTTCTAAACACATACACTGAGCTTGAAAATTGCTTTACAGATATTTCCTCTGCCTTATCCAGCTGCATATAAAGATTCCCTAGCTGCTTTTCACTATTCTGTCGTCATTAAGAATCCCATGTGATGCAGCAAGGTTGTGGTTGCTATGTGTGACTCACTTCCAGCCTTCTGCAGGTGCTGCTATGCCAGGGATTCTTGCCTATTAAAATAGGGTCAAGGATGAAAATTAGAAGAACTCAGACATCCCCATGTTGGACCCAGTAGGGATGAAACTTATTAAGATTTTTCAGACCTTGAGCCACTCCTGCAAGCACTCCTCGAGCCAGTCCTGGCTGACTATGGCTCTGGGACCTAAAATGAAGAAAGAGACCATAGCTTTTGCCTGGCATCTCATACTTTTTGTTTCATTGAAAACAGTTGCTACATGAATAGGCAAGTTTTCTAGAATAGGAAATACCTCCTTGATCACCAAGATCAGCTCTTAACCCCTGCTTTCATTCAACCCCATCACACATGACTGAATTTGCCTGTACTATAAGGCTCTTCAGTATGCAGTTCCAGATTTTGCAAAGTCATATAGCACCTACTACCTACACAGCATTTAAAGAAGTAACTGGGGCTTTGTGTATATGTGAATTTTTCCTTATGTGAAATTCTTTACAGATTTGTTTCCATCTGCTTTTGCTCTATTGTATCAACACTAACTCTCAGATCTGATAAAATAAATTTCGTAGCAGGTTAAGTAACCTGATACAGCATTTTCCATTATGAAGTGCAACTCTAGAAATTTGAATTCATTGCTGGCAACAAGCCTTTCATCTTCAAAAAAGACAAAGAACAAGAGCCAGAAATGTTGCTTTTGTTTAACACCAAAAAAAAAACCATTCAATTTTGTAATAAAAAATTAGTCTGTATGGGAGCATAGTCCTTTTAGGAAAGCATCAATAGTCTTGCCAGAATATCTAAAAATGCACATGGCAATGTCAGGTTGATGACATTGCACTGAAAATGCTGGCAAAACAGGGTTACATGAAGTGGTGGCTCTTTTTTCTCTCTTCCAGGCAAATCACACAATGACAACCAGCTATAATTAAGAAGTCAATTAATAAATTAACTGATGACATCACAAAACAGATTTCTTTGAAACTGACCTTCACTCAGAAAGGAATACCTCCCCACAACTTACATGGAAGATATAAAAAGGTGTGCTTTGCAGAAATGGTGAGAATGAAGATGTCAAAAAAAACCAAAATAAAACAAAAAAACAAAAACAGTTCACCTCTTTTTTTTTCCTCTATGGGCTACAAGAAGGAAGTGGAAAAAGCCACAACTGAACCTCCTCCTTGTAGTCATGGTGCCTCAGAAACCAAGACAGGAGCTCATGTAGTCATAAGCAATAAAGCTGTTCCAAAAGTGTTGTCTCTTTTACACGTGGACATAATCTGTATGAATACACACTTAAAAAAAATTAATTTCCAAATTCTGAGATAAAGTGTGTCATCTTAGAATTTAAATCAAATAGTTGTGGTATTTTTACTGTAACTGCATAGTATTTATTACCATTTTTAACTACACTTGCTGCATTCTAAACAGAGCTCTGCTTAGACCAAAACCACTAGAAATGGTCATGATTAATCCTGAACTACAAAAAAGGATATGGAGGCCCATGGATGCTCTGCCTTTCTACATAATGAAAAAGGGGGGAAAGTTTTGAAATCATCTTCCAATTTTGAGACAAATGCAGACACAGAATCAATGTATTTTAATAACTAAAGGGTTTATGGATTGTGTTTATTGTCCATTACAAACAAATAATTACTTAGTTTATTTAATGTGCACTCAGTAATCAGATAAAACATATGTTAAAAAAATTCCTGGAGTTAGTCTGCATTAATTTCATTGTCTCTCTATCAGTCTGAGAGATTTTTTTTCTATCCTGTAACCTATTAAGCTATATATATGATTATCATAAAATTGATTACACTGCTATTTTAAAACCACCAAGCATCATAGTGAAATCAGCAGAAAAATAACTTAATGAACTTTAATAATCATAATTGTTTTGTTTATAAAAGATACTTTTATCCTGCAGATAGTAAAAAGAAATATTATTTAGCATTATCTAAATCATAAAATTCAATTACTTCATTTTTTTATGAAACAGAATTTTAGTATGATTTAATAACCTTTTAACTAATATGTAAATGTATGCCTATCAAGGAAGTACTTTAATTGCATATATAGTCTATCATAAGAACTCACTTTCTTTATGCAAGTATACTTTAGTTGATTTAATTATCTAGCCCTCTAATTACACAGTCCATACCAATCAACCCAAATGAAGCACTTCTCTAATCTTAATTTCATATGTCAAATCACTGAATATGTTTTTGCATGATTCTCATGTTAATTAGAAAGCCAGATTTTGAGTGAATGACAGTGAGTTCATGAGTACACTAGGGGCAAAAGCCAAGAAAGATTTCACATAGGGCAATGCTAGTCCCTAAATTTTTACCTTTCTCCAGATCACCTATTTCTCCAGTGGGTGAGATATGAGATCTAGCAGTTTTTAGCTGTCTTAACTTTGTCCAAACTTTTTGAAATACTCTTGTCTCTTACTTTGCCCACAATCCCCTCCCTCCCCTGTAGCACAGGCTAGTATCTTTTGTGGGGGCGAGGTAGGAGAGGGCTGAGATCAGGAAGGATTTTTCTTGGTAGAGCTATAATGTCAAGAAGTCTTACTCTTCTGGCTTTGTGCTTACTTTAAACATCCTGAGCATTATCCCATCCAACACCAGACATTATGTTGTGCAGCAGGGAAAGCTTATAGTTTGACTTGGAAGTTTCAAATGGCTTGCATTTGCAGCTCATGGTGGTGAACATTACAAAGATCAGAGGCTCCAAGAGCCACCTCCTGGGGGCAAAGGAGAAACAGGATTTCACCAATGAGCCCTGAGGCTACAGAAAGATGATGTGATATCTTTCTGATCTTGGTCTTCCCTGTCCCAACCTCAGGCAAGAAGACCTGAAAGGTAACTAAAGATGGGTTAGCCCCAACTTTTTCATTATAACTCTTTAGCTCACATTAGAAAAAAATTGAATATCCATAACAAAGAATGATAGAAAATAAAAAGACCACTTGGCCTTCCCCTGGCCTAGAGTATCTCACCTATTTGCAGATAATCAATCACATAAATGCTATTATTTCATGTATGAAACAGTCCCACTCAGTTGGATGAGTGAAAAATGAACAGCACACATCTTCGAAAAATTTTAACTTTTTGTTTGCTGTAGTTAGTTTAAGTGCAGTATTCAAAAATTTGGGGTGGAAGGAAACTGCTTTAATATAGCCACAGTGTAAGTACCAGTGAGTCTAACAGGAATAGTTTTGTTACATTTGCCCTAACCAATTATAACAACCTGAAATTTATTCAGAATGATGGCATTAATTTAACTCACTTTTCATAATAAGTGATTTTATGAAGAATAAAATTATTTTCTTACAATAATTAAAAACAAAAATAATGCAGTCCAAGATTTGATCCAAGCTAAATTGAGATGAGACTCAGTATTCATAAAATAGCAACCATTTTATTGTAAAATTTTGGTGCTATTGCTGCTGCAAAAAGTACACTAATTCACACCATTTAGTAATCTTCAGAAAATATTCATACTTTTATTAGACAAGATCGCGAGCCTTTCTTCAAAGCAGATGTGTGAAATGAGAACCGCATCTCACTTCAGTCCACTAGAGGGTGGTTTGACTTACTCAGGACTATGGGACTGAATTCATGCAAGAGATCCAACATTTTCATCTTTTTGACCTGTTGATAACCAATTCTTTGTGCTTCATTATTAATCATCTCCTATTATAAAGTAATTTCTTTTTTATAAACAGTATATATGATAAAAACCCTTTTTCTAACAACATCTATCTCATTTATTGTCCTGTATATCTAGGAGAAGGGGTAATGATAATCACAAATTATTCTACAGATTTTAAACCTTCAAAGTTTGTATGCCTTTCAGTCATAGACAAAGAATAAACAGGGTAAAAAAAAATAAATCATTCACCAAAGAGCACAGCATAAAGAGAGAAAGAAGAAAGAAAGGGAAGGAAAAATCTGGGCATCCTATTGTTTGTATAATTGGATGGCTATAAAAGACAGACTCAGGCAGAGATTGAGAGAAACTGACTTCTTATTTAACCAACCTCTTTCAGAGTTCATTTAGAATTTTTATTTCTCAGGAAGATGTATTACTGCTCTTACTTTCTACTGATAAGCACAGGTAGTAAATTGGAAGAGGAAGAATATGTAAAATATTTTCCTGTCTTAAGCTGAAAAAAAAAANAGGAAGATGTATTACTGCTCTTACTTTCTACTGATAAGCACAGGTAGTAAATTGGAAGAGGATGAATATGTAAAAATTTGGAAGAGGAAGAATATAAAAAATAATTTCCTGTCTTAAGCTGAAAAAAAAAAAAAAAAAAAAAAAAAAGGCACCAAAATTGGGAGGAAGACACAACATTTTTCCTGAATGGTTTCAACACACAGTATCCTCTGAACTACAGCAGCCTTTGCAGAACTTCAGTGATCTCTAATAAGTTGTTCTGAGTGCAGATAACTGCCCTTGAAGGGGGAAAAAAATAAATAAAAAAGGAGGGTGGGGGTAGAAACTGTGGACCTCCCAGTCAGTTCCGTACAGACAGCAAGCGTGCCCGCAGCTCCCGGAGATGGGAAGCGATATCCGGGCGCGCTGAGCGGCAGGCTCTGCGCCCCGCGCCCGCGCAGCAGCCGTGTCACGCACCGACAGCCTCCCGCGGCCGCGCAGCCGCGCGCACTGCGCGCAGCGGGCGCGCCGGGCCGCCGCTGCTGCGCGCCAGCCGCGGCTCCGCTCCCAGTGACCGCGGAACGGCAGCACCGCGGCGCTGAGACAGCCGAGCGGGGCTCCGCTAACCACCATGGAAACAAGGAGGAATAAGAGCAGCTAGCGAGCTGCTCTCTCCCCCGCCTTTCTCCCTCCGCTGGATTGCGAGCCTCAGACAGCCAGGCAGCAACAGCGCCTGGCAAACGCGAGGGATCTCAGCTGGCAGCACGGAGTCTCTCATGTTGCAGGATATCAATAGATGCGTCTTTGTATTATAGACTGTTAGACACACGCATGCACACCGACTCCCACCCACACGTACATGTGTGCTCATCTATACAGACTCTGGCTTCAATACAAGTATGTCGCCACCTGAACTAAGGATTCAAAATTACTGAGATGCAAGAACTCCTCCAGCTCTGAAACTACTCTTATTATAGGGTAAGTTCCTCTTTATTTTCAATTTTGCCCTGACTTTTATCTAACTTCTAGACTCTTTCCCCTTTCTTCTTTTTGTAAAGTTATTTTATTAATGTATTTTCACATATTACTTTCTGAACAGAAATGCAAATGCATTATGCTTTTTATTCCAGAGATAATCTAAATATGCTTGCAATAGTATCAGATTTGTGCATTTGTTACCTTGAAAGAACATCAAAGGATAAAAAAATATAAAAGGAGGATGTTTCCACTGATGTTTCAGAATCAATATCAAATTAAACACTTGTTCCATGTTTTGAAACCAATAAAACAAAATATTGTTTTATTGAAAGGACAGCCTCCTTTCTTCTCTCTAGTGCTAGGATTAAGGGGAATGCTGTTTATGTCAAGACCTAAAAACCACTGAGCAATGAGGCTGAATGAGCATATCACAAACAGTTATTGAATTTCTGCCAGGCTACATCTTAAGGATTGTGGCAAATGACTTCGCCTAAAAACATCCCCTTTCCAGTCAGAAGGGACAGTGTGAATGTCTGATTACTGATGCAGCTGGAACTGACGCGTTAGGTAAAAAGGATCACATTAAGCGGAGGAGTTCTAATCTTCTTTGGTAATTAACAGGATCTCAGCAGGGTGCCTCTGTTTACATGGAAGGAGAGTGTTTAAATCCATCACTATAAAAGCTTTGCCTGTTTTAGTATAGCAAGGCTCAGAACTGTTTGTCTTTGCTTTCCATGTCTTTGTTTTCACATGTCTAGCTGGAGTTTTTGCCCAGCACTGCTGATGAGAAAGAGAACCCAACACAGGGGGAAGGAGAAGGCAGCAAATGCAGGGGGCTAGAAAAATATCAGTGATTTTCTATTTAACCAATTTAATCAACTTAAAACTCCAGGCTAGCACCACAGTTGTCTAATGTTCTTGTGCTTATGCATGTATATGTCATTTCTTCCATGCAGTATCAGAATACCTCAGTATCCTTTAGATGAAAACACATTTGGTAAAGTGCACCAGCATGGATTTGTGATTCATGCATCAGTGAAAGACAGAGATAGATTTTACTTTACACCATGAAAAAGACAGGTTAGCCCTCTAATGAATGCTTCAAAGTGAAAAAAATACAATCTGCATTTTGCCGTATGCTTTTGTTCGCTTTTTAGAGTACTACATCTGTATTAAAAACATCTCAGTATTTTGATTGTTTCTCCTACCCCTTTTTCTCCCTTCAACCCCCTTACTCCTGTGAACTCTGGAGAACATCATAAAGATTCTTTTCCTTTGCAACAATGTAATTATTTGCTTGTGATTTTAGAGCTACTGTGTTCTGAGAAACAAACTGTGAAAGAACCATCAACAGATAGCCACTGGCTTTAAGTCTGTCACCTTTCCAAAAATGTCAGGAAATGGGTAGCTTAACAATATGTGTGGTAAGAAGTCAATTAATTCAGGTGACCTTTGTAAATGGTGACAATAAAGCAGCTCTAACAATATGCCACAGCATTCGACATTCCCCTCTGGAAAATGAATGAGCTTAAGAAGAGGTTTTCTTTTCAGAGTACAAAATGAAAGGTACTGAAGCATTAGCTCCTGCTATTGGCAAGCTTGCTTCCTCTATTTTAGGTGGTTTGTGAAACCTGTTTAAAGCAAGCTGACTTATTTTATGATATGAAACACAATCTCTGGTCTAATTAATTAAATATCCTGTTTTCATTCACACAGCATGTATACTACATGTGTACAAGCATTTCCAGCTCCTGGTTTAGATTTTTACAAAATTTGCTATAAAATAAGTATAGAAAACCTAATTTGGATCTCTTCATGTTATCTGCAAAGGACTTCTCAGAGGAAACTTTTTCTTCATGCCTCAGTAGCTTCTCAGTTCTTCTGAATGTTTATCCTCATTCATTTTTAATGTAGAAAATAAGTAAATATGAGTAACTTTACAGAAATGCATCTTGGGTTTTGCTACATATACTCTAATGTGCTACTTCAGAGTATTATATAGATACACCAAAAGGCATCAGAAAAATGTGGCCATTTCAGTCATACATGTATAGAGAATATTTGCTGTAGGTGAAGCTTCTCTACACAGCATAGACATTCTTAACCAGCAAAGCAGGCAAAATGTATGGTGACTGTATTTGGGTTAATACTCCCTCAAAGCTCCTGCAATAATGTTGTAGTGTCAGCCAACGACTGGCTGATGTTGTTATGGTAACCCCAAAGTCCCGTCTTTTAGGGTGGCAGCTCTGAGCATGACATCAGAGCATTCCTGCTTGGAGTACCCTGAAGTGGGTGAGTACTTCATTTTTACACCAGATCAGCTAAACAGCCTTGCTACCTGCAATGCAGATCAAAAATATAATGTATAATCTTTGTTAAATGATGTAGATTGAGCAGCTCATTAAAAGGACATCCTGCTTTTCACTAGTAATCACTTGTCCCTTGTCACTAGAAAACAAAACTAAGCATTTGCAAGACAGAGCAAACCATTTATGAGTGTTTGAGCCACTTTCTTTGACTCTCACCCACAACCTTTATTATATTAATAATTAAAAGCTAACCAAAAGCTTTGCTTCTTGCTGACAATCACTCTTAATTAAAGCTAGACTGGTATTTCATAGACAAGTTTTAGAGTATTAAAACAATAGAAGAAGATAAGGAGTAGAAAACAAAATACTTTTTCAAGACAACCTCTATCTTCAATTGAAAGAAAAGTTACCACAAAGAGAAAAATTATATATAGATAGTTTTAGTGTTTCATGGTACATTACTGTTTTAGTTAATTCATATGTCCTTTCTTCAGATAGTACTATTAAAGGCTGAAGGAAAACAAAACCAGAAACTACCTTAACATACTCTTCCATGTCAAATTCCACAAACTCAGTTTAATATCAAGAAGCAAAAACTGACAATGAAAAACCAATTTCACATGTAGCACTCAAGGAACTATTTTCTGAAGACAAACGAATGGAGAGTTTCTAAAATTTTTCCAAAGACCAAAAATAAGACAGCTTCTAATTATTTTATTTAATACAATACGACTTCTACAAGCCTTCATACTACTTTAAAAGAATACTAATTCCCATTCTAACAACGCAACAAGCAATTAAATCCTTTGCTTCACTGAAAGAAAATGCCAGTAGAATTTGAGAAGAAACAGTAGTGACAGGTGTCATTAGAAAGGTCATTAAACACATTAGTATTAAGAGAAAAATCAATGCTTCTCATTAAAACTGTAATGTAACTGTAAAAAGAAATTACTGTGCCTTTTACTTATTCAGCTGACCAGTCCACAAATTGTTAAAAGCTGTTATTGTGAAATGGTGTAGTTCATAAAGAACTTATTTGAATAAACAGTATGACCTTCAGTGTTATACACAAAATCTATAAATTATTTCATCACGATTTCCTCAATAAAGTCATATCCTCAACTGAACTGAACTGATAAATGTTTATTAGCACAGCACATGGAGCTATACTCATCTGTACCAGAGAAAGATCCAATATGGATGTCAATAAGATTATTTCACATTGGGTTCTTCATAGAGTAGCTGAGTGTGACCCCTGTTGAAAAAGAGTATTTTTATGAGGGCCAAACACAAACTACTTTCACAATTTTGCTTGATCCAATTACCCTCTCCTGACAGGACTTCATATTCTTTCTACATGGAGCATCAATCATAATACAAGCTACAATCATGCTCTCACCCCTAGCATTTACCAAATTGCTTACTTTTCTTCAAAGCAAAAACAAATGCAGACATTAAAACAAATGGGAAGTTTCATTTCATAAACACAAATTTATACAACATATCCTTGAAACCATTATCATTCATTTAGAAATACTTCTTTTTCACAAAAGATTTATCTCAACTCTCTTTCACCTTGGCCACAATCAGCAGTGGTCTAATTGAAAGGAAATAAGAAATAAGATCTCTGTATTCACATAATTTCTATTCTGTTGTATTTCTGGAATTCATAAAAATATCTGCCCCAAATTTAATGGTAGTTTAACTCTACTGACCTCTGTATTAGAGTAGAAAGGAAATTTTGCCTCTTTTGTTCTCCCAGCTTCCACAGTCTCAGTCAAACTGGGAAATGCTTTTTGACAACACTGGCACAAAAGAAATAATTTAGCTTTTCTCTTTCCTGAATAAGCATCTGTATTTAGAGGTAAACACTGCAAAGCAGAATAAAATGCTACACAGAATATTTTTTCAAAATGTCTACTGATTATTAGTATTACCTCAAGAGTCTTTTAATAGACATTTCTTGTTATGCAAATAGCAACAAGTCTGCCAGGAAACACTTTCAATTCTCTATAACATTTGGCAGAAAAAGAGTACAAGTCATAAGTTTAGCTGTACCAAAAATGCCTGGGCATCCAGCTACTAGTATGAAAAAAAGAAGAAAAAATATTTTTTATACAATTATATGTCTAGTGATCAGACAATTTCAGAAATTACCTATTTAATAAATTATGGAATAATAAAACAAAAATCTGTGGTGTAATACAACACACAATGAAGAGCAAAGTTTTGCATTGAGACTTTTTTTTTAAATTGCCATAGTACTCTATGTACTATATACACCATCATCCTGGATAAGAAAAGATGACTCCCTCCCAAATTGTTTCTAAAAAGGCAGCATGATTGTCAGAATCACACTAGTGATTCTAGTGTGGTGTTGAGAGGTTAAAGGAAACTGGGCTGGTTAGTTTTGTCGTGGTGCTAAAACAAAAAGTCATTCTTATTTGAAATAGAATGAGAAATGTATATCAGATTTGGGAGGCATTGAAAGTACAATTATGGGACTCGTTCCCTGAATAAGGATAAATACAATTTTCTCCTACTTTACAACAGTAGCATATCTCTGCTGAAACCAGATATATATGTGTGGTTATTTATATCATATTTATGTGATTTATTCAGTACCTAAAGACCTAATAAAATTTTTCATCTTGACAGGAATAATTTTTATGCGAAAACAGAAACTTTTTT